TTGATTCTCCCTGGAAGCTTATGGTTAGGCCTCCGGAGAGAATCCTGCTTAGTATTGCATAAAAAATCAATTAAATTTGATAAACTCACCAATGCTTTTTTGATAGCTGCTTATGTTGTTCATGAGTGGCGAGAGCGAGCTGCTAACTCTTTCGTCTATGGTCGGCTTTCTCAACCTGCCTGTATAATTCATCATTTGTATTTGTGAGCTGCTTGTTTCATTCATCAATGACATATAGGGGCCACTAATTCCAGAGCTGTACTCTGTGCTGTTAATCATCCCTATCTTAGAGCTGCTTGTTTCGTTAACATCCCATAGCATCTGGAGGCTGCCGGCAGAGTAGTCTGTGATGCTCAGCATTTTGAGACCAGTACCAACTGACAACCGAAGATTCACTGCAAAAACAAATTGTTGTCAAGAGATTAATGCTCGGAGAAGTTCACTGAAACGGCAAACTTTTGGAGAAAAAAATAGAAGGGAGAAACCGAACTTACGAGCTGATAGTGGACCCAGTTGAGGGTTGAACAAAAGCCAGAAGCTTAATGCAATGAAGAGACAACCCAACATTGCTCCATATCCAAACTTCTTCTGCTCGTACCGATTGAAACTCCTAGCAAAGATTGAATCATACAATATTTCTGCAGTCATTTTCTTCACTGCTCAAGCTCAACTAATCTGATGTCAAGTTGCTTCTAATTATAGACTTTTGGTTAAGCAGATAGTCTTTCTTTTGCATATGAAGGTAGCTCTCATGAGAAAAGTCTCATGAGAATGAATAAGAATAAGATATTATGTTTTTATAATAATTTGGAGAGGACAGTGTTATAGGCAAGAATTAATGTGATGGTCACTAAAATTGTAAAATATTATTTTTAAAAATATTAGTTCTGTTTAATTTGATTGGAAAATAACTAATAACGGTAATTATCGCTTTTTATCGATGGTAAATAAAATGTCTAATCCTAAAAAATTTGTTAGGGCTACAATTTACTATTATGCCCTATACTCTAAGCCTTCTATTAATGACAATTTTGTCATTTTAATTTTTAGATGAAAAATAACAAAAATATCCTCTCCACAATAAAAAATATGTACTACCTGTAACCTATTTTACTTTTCACATTTTTACGTAACAAGATTACATGGAAAATTACAAAGAAACATTAAAACACACTTATTACTAATTCAATTTTCATAGGGGTTTTTAGGGGTATAAGTTAAGTGTATATTAATTACATATTTTTATAATTAATTTGTATAAAAAAATAAAAGTTGATTTTAAATTTATCAATTATTTAATTAAATTATTTACATGACATTGGTATTAAAAATAATTATTGCTTTTCTTTTAATAAATGTGACAAGTAAAATAAAGTGAGGTAATATCTCATTAATGGTATTATGCTAAATTTTAGCTTAGAATGACAGATTTTTTGTTGGGTTTGTCTAATCTGTATTCTAATAGCACATGTTAAACTTTATTAATTATAGATCTATAATTAATTTTGTACAAAATTTTATATCAAATTTATATTTTTTTATAGATTTCAAGTATAAAAATTATATTATATTTTAATTTTATATTTTATATTTTATTTTAATTGAATTTGATATAAAAATTTATACAAAATTAATTAAAAATATTATATTTAATAAAATTTAACCTACATTTTAAGAGTATAAGTTAAAAAATCTCCTTTTTGTTAGTGGGAACTGTCTGTTGTAATTTTAAATTTGATTTGGGATAGTTGTATGTAGCACTTTTTTACATACAACAACTTATTTAAAATTTAAGTTTATTATAATTAATAAATTTTAATTAATATTATATACTTTTAATAATTTTAATCATTATTTTATATATAATTTTTATAATAAAAGACAGCCTACAACCACAATACAACATAATACAGTAGTATTGTAATGTTAAATAAAGACTTAGTATATTAAATATTAACTCTAATACTCTATGACTTTAGAAAAGTCCTGCTTTCTCTTGAATTAAAAACTTGAAATAAAAAAACATTAACAGTCTGTTGTCTATTGTCAAAGACGGCCAAAAAAAGAGTCTGTTGTCAAAATTTTGAAAGTTTTTTCCAACGAAATTGTACTCCAGCAGCTTATGCACTGTGGTACTACGTACGTAGATGCTACGCGGTTTAAAGAAAATTATGTTTCAATCATCAAAAGCAATAATTAAGAGATTAGAAGATATTATCAATTACCTGGGGTAGGGAAAATGTTTAGAAGTAAAGGAATTGATTTTGATTATAGGTTAAAATGTAATTTTATTGGCATGCACGT